GCTGCGGCCGCCGCCGAGGCGCACCCGGCTGGGCACGGCCGCCGCCCCTCGCCGTCGGCTCGGCTCCCGTCCGGCGCAAGGGCAAACGGGCCACAAGGTAAGTGCCGCCCGCTTCCCCCCTCCTTCTGCGACCCGCGCGTCCCGTCTTTGCCCCTCTCCCCCCGGGCGGCCTCCCTCCCTCCGGCCCCCCCAGTGCCATCCACGGGCGGGAGGGGAGGCTCCGGGTGGGCGAGGAACTTTGGGAAGCGCCTTGAGGAGGCAGCGCGCGGAGCCTCTGCGCGCACACTCTCACACCCACACACGTCTCCCTGGGTGTGCGCCCCGGGCAGGTTACGTGTGTGTGTGTTGTATCCAGAGCCTGGGCGCTGGGCTGGTGCCTCCATCGACGGACTGACAGGCACACAGCGCGCGCTCCCTCTCTCACACACACACCTGGCCACACACAACGCTCTGGAGGCTTCTTCTTTTTTTCTTTTTTCTTTCGCCAATTGTCTTTGCTTTGGGAAAAAACTTGCCCTCTTGCCGGCCCTGGGGAGCTTGTGGCCACACTGAGAGCTTTTGAAGTTCCCTTCTTTTAATCTCCTTTATTGGGGCGAGGTTAAAGCATTACTATTCCATGTTGTGCAGTTGGGGAGAAAGGAAAATTGAAAGAGGGGCAGGCTTGGTGTAGGAATGCTGTTGGGAACATCTCAGATTCTTTACTGGCATTACATTAATCGGTTGATGGATTCGGCTGGGGACATTGAATTGCTCTCCTGTATGGATCTGTAGATATCTATATATAATACAAATAATACTGAATATTATTGGGCCCAAAATAACCAATTAAGTGATTCATACCCGGGCAAACTTAGATAAAAAAAGAAACTGCGCCCTCTGCTGTTTATTTTAGTAACCTCACCCGGGGACCTTTTTTTTTCTTCCAGAAATCCACTTAGGAGGTTGTCATCTTACAGGGCAAGGGAGGAAAATTCTTAGCGGGGATTTTAAAGCAGCATTATTTGGCAAAGTCAGAAGTTGCGTTCCCATCCTCGCATCAGGTATAGATTTCCAGAGAGTAGAGGCTTTTGTTCCCTTCCCCCTCCCCCATCCTTCTCTTTACCCAGGGAAAGGTAATGGAGCCGCTCGTTATCATAACAGTTTGTCAATTTTTGGAATGGAAAATTCTGAGTAAGACTCAAAACTCCACTAAACATATGGTGTATCTGGCAGTAGATTTGCTCTAGAAATAAGGCCCCAGTTTATCACTGAAAATACTAAAAGTTTTCTTGCGGAAATAAAAAAAAAGAAAACCAGAAAGTTCTTCCAACAAAATCATTTATTCAAGTATACTTAAGGGTTAAGCTTGTTAGAAAAAGTTTGCCAGAAATTCTCTTTTTCGGAGAGGGGCAAGATTTTTCTGATTGGTTTAGCTCTTGAGGAACATCTCTAAGCTGTGGGGAATTAGCAACGCCAGGTTTCATTAAGTATTTCGAATTATGTCACTTTGAATGCCTTACCGCACCCCCTTTTCTCTTTGGCAAAAGAAAAGCAGCTTAATAACTAGCCAAGATTCTTTTGGAAGATAAGCAACTTTCAGTTTTTCATTAGGACAAAATTTAGATCTTTGCATGTGGATCAGCATGCAAAGAAAACAATGCATCAAGTCTTGCACACAATGTTGTTCCAGCTTACATACATACAGGATGTATTTCCTTTTCTTTTCTGGATGCCATGAAATGAGATCTGTTTCACCACTAAAGACCAACAGGAGGACATTCAGAGTTCCATATATTTGTCTATTAATTTGGTGATACTTCTCACTGTGAAATTTAAGAGGCGCAATCTTAAAATTTTGTAAGAAAACACTTTATTTGCACATAAAGCTGTTTTTCTATTGAGATTTTTGTTTTGTCATCTTTCACTGGGCATGTGTGTTAAAATGGTTCAGATTAGCTTTTTTAGGAGGAGGCTAATGTATTTTGCAGTTTCCTTTTGTATATTTGTAATTGGTGCAAATAGTTTTTGCTTCCATTATTATTCTGAAAAAATATCAGGTAATATGTTTAAAAAATTAAACCACCACACATTTAGTTGATATGTTTTCTAAGTGTTGTAAAGATTTGGAGAGAGAGTTTTGGAGTTACAAAAGCACCAAGTCACTTGAAAAGAAAGAAAATTTTATACAACTCAGAAAATCAATTATATGTTAACAGAAAAATATGTATGTGTGTGAATTACATTATAGGTCAGTAAGAGATTTAGCATACTTTTAAAAATAATTTTATCTTCAGAATCCAGAATTTTGTTTCTAAACTTCAGGTGGGCATAGATTTTCTCAAATGTGTATTTGAAACCTTGGATCTCTGAACTTGTCCTATAAGAGAAGGAAAGATTTGTTTGTTCTGTGGTCATGAAACACCAGATTTCTTCGAGGCTTAACTGATTCTGAGATAATTTTATGTATTATCCCATCCCCAAACATCCTGCAAAATGTGTGCTAATTTCTCTGATCATTTTTCTCCTGGTGAAAACAGAGATCTTTCAAATACTAAGGTATGCTATTTGGTTTTATTAAAAATCTCATGATAGACAGTTGCTCATAATACCTAATCAAGTGTAAGTAAAATATGCCAATGATGTTGCAGTACATGCTAAATTCCTTATATTTTGAGAGACAGTTAACAAAAGGATAGAAGCAAATGTTTCCCATTAAGATGACTAGAAAATGCTTTCTTCACAACCAATAAATAAATGCAAAGAGCATTCAGTATATGTTAAATATCTTATGTAGTCAATCTCATTATGACAGTATTGGAAACTGCTAATTTTGATAGGTTATGGAATTTGTCTATATCTTTATCACTTTATATTTTTCACTCAATGGAATATGATTATAGTCAATGTTCTTTTTGTTCCTTCCCATTCAGAAACATGCATATTTATAAAATTCTTAATGTCTATGAAGAATGAGTCAATAGCTGTCTATTTCAGGTGCCCCTGAAGAGCTGTGTATTTATGGAATAAATAGCCTACTACCACCACCCCCACCTCCTAGTGAGATTATATAATAAAACGAATGCTGAAAGCCAGCTAAAGTTAGTGGATTTACTGTCAGTATTTTCCTCTCAGTTGGTGAAATTGGCAATAGTTTTTGGAATATAATTGTCTGTAATTTTGATCATTTATTATTTCCATGTAATATTTTGGGAGGCTTCTTTTCTGATGAAAGAAAGGGCCTGTGAAATACTTTCTGCAAAGTTAATCCAAGGTGGAAGGGAATTAGCTACAGAATCCTGGAAAAAGACATGTTCCATGTATGCAAAGCTGTTTTACAGCCTATTTTATTCCAGATCAATAACATCTATCAACTTGAGGGCATGACATAATTTCATATTTTTACCTTGGTTCTGCAAATGTATTCATCAGTCAGAGGTCTATGGAGTACTCATAGCATATTAATGGGTATTTTTATCAAAGAGGACTTTTCAGTACTTTAGTGCACAGGTAGAGATGATGGGATGATTTGATTAACAGTGCATTCCCAAGGTTCACACAGTGGAGAACTGGAACTGGGGCTGCTTAGAGCCCTTCTGAAGCTGCTCACGTTCAGGTGATACGGACACCTGAGACAATTGCAAAGCCCACATTACTTGGCAATTAGTTCAGGTATGGACCAGAAGGGATTGGTTTAGTATATTAAATCCCCAGATATGTTATTGACTGTCCTTCTCATAATCGGTTTGCCTAGCTATTTGCTGTGATGACCTAGCTTTTAAGAAGCTATTGATGATTTTAACCTGGTTGAAAGCATAGCCAGATGGGAACTGGTACTATTAGGTAATAAAGGTTAAGGGAGAAATCATATTCTATTTCTACATCGTTTTATTTTCTTTGAAAACTCCATAATTATACTTTAATAGAAAATTTCTGATTTTGACAGAGGCTGCTTTTCCATTGTGTGTCATGGAAGTTCTTAGATTTAATTTCTCACTGATTTTAAATTAAGAGAATTTTCTTTGAAGTGTATGTGGCACTGAAAAGTGTGGAGATCCTGATATGAAGTATACATACTAGGTAACACTACAAACATAAAAATTAGAATGAAATCAAATAATTGTCTTAAAGAACAGCTTAGTGACCCTCTGCTCCTGATCTGTAATGTGCCGTGGTCAATATCTTTTTCTGTGTCAATGGGAGTTCATTAAATGTAAATTCTGCAGACTAACTGAGCCATGCCATATTAGTGCTTGCCAAAGCTTGACATTTTTAATACATTAATAATATGTCTGTAATGTAATGGAAAACTATTAATCACAACTGGTTATGTGCCAGAAATTTAAGCTATAATTGGCTGCTTCTTGTCAAGAATGTCTGTTGCACAGTCCTGCAACTGCCTGATATTCAAATATCTTGCACTCCTCTGCATTTTTCCTTGTCACTTCTCTAAATTCGATCAATGGTGTAGTCCACAATTCTGTGTAATGACCATCATTATAATTCTGGTATACTTTAATGAGAATTCGTTACATTGGGATCGCTGTTGTGTCAGGAAATAATGACAGGTTCACATACATTTCCTCAGTGTCCAAATTTTTCATGTAGGTTTATCTGGTCACCCTTTATTTTGTGGTTGCAGTAAGGCCACATGTGGATGAAAGCAGAGTGGTGAAGAATAAATGGATTATAGGGATAACATTTATTGGTTAAAAAAATGTGAAGATTGATCTCAGGGAGCATTCAAATATATATTTAAGGTCACATTTAAAAAATAATATTAAAAATTAACTCATAATGCTCACCCAGTTCAAACTCATTGCAGTCTATCCCAGGTCTTCAAGAGTATATTGTTCTTGATACATAAGTTGCTGTGCATTTGAAACTAAGAATTGAATCTAGTCTAGTAGATTTTACACTGCTTCAGTTGTAATGCCCACCTCCTAACCACCCTGTGGAAAGTGTTTGTTCTTGTTATAATAAAATAGTAAACACAGTTGAAAAATGCATCTAGAAAATGTGAATTTGTATTAGTTTAACACCTTTTCAGATTATTAATTGTCAAATTGTTGGATGTTTCTGACAATAGCAACTTAAAATTACTAATGAATCTGAAAAAAGCAGAAGGCTGTAGTAGCAACACCACGCGCTTCTCTGTGACTTTTTCTTTTTAGCTTAAGATTTCAAAATGTGCTCAATGCAGTATAGTCTTTACATTACAAGGAAGAGGCAGATTCAAATCTGTAGTTTATACATGTTTAGACAAACTGCTAATTATTCCTTCATAGGAACTCAAATATTCAACACTTTTCCTAATAGAAAATATCACAAATTGCAGCTGTATGATAACATTTTATGAATTGAATATAATGAAAATTGCACTTGCATCCATAAAGCAATTATTATAAATTACTTTGCTATGGAAACACAATTCAACCATCTGTTGGCATTTCATAGTCTCTGTGGCTTAGTTCATTTTAAGATGGTGCAATCTTTAAATATAGTGAATTCCTTTTTTAAGATTGTTTGAAGATAGTGAACTTCCGTATTTAAACTGCTTAGTGTGAATTGAAGGGTCTGTAATGGTATTTTCTAAAGCTGTAGTCTTTTTGTCCTTTTCCAATTGATTAAAAAATAGTTAATTATTGAGACAATAACAATATGAACCAACTAATTAAGCAAATACATTTTTTTTTACACGTGGATTCCAAATATTATAGTTTGTTTAGATTTGAACAGTGATCTCTAAAGAGAAAAGTTGCCAGTTAAACTCACAAATGACTTCTACCCATAGTTATGTAGGCTGCATTATCAGTTAACTAAAAGTACTTTTAAACAGTAATTTTTATTTTCTCTTAGAATTAGTGCCATATTATTCTGCTTCATGGCCTGTTAACTCACCCTCAGCTATTTTTATATGTGCATTTTAAATTGTGCGTTTTACTACAGAGCTTTTAGTTTTAAAGCAGCGTATAAGATTCGCCTTTGGGACAAATTATCTTCTGTTACAGAAAGTAACTCGCAAATGCAGATGTGATGGCTATAAAAAGATGTAAGAAAATATAAAATTCCTATGAAAGGAAAATTTGCTCCTTTGGTTTTATTTTTGAATATTTTCTCAGAGAGCCAAGTTATCTTTATCACTAAATGCAACGAAACAAAAGATGCTAAGTTCTTCCAATATAATGAGCAAATCCAAAGGGACCAGCTTGTGCCAACAATGCCGGTTTTCACTCCAGCTAAACAAAGCTGAGAAATGTACAAGGAATTTGGAGATTTTTTAGGGTCTCTTTGCCAAGAGACAAAAGGCATACAAGGAGTTGTCACTTCTTTGTCATTGTTATAATAGCGCTCATTTCCCCCATTGTTCTCTTGGAAGATTTTCCAGCACTGCTATATATGAGAAATGTTTAAGTCTAGCTGCTTGCTCTCAGTTTTGTCAAGACGGAAATATAATTTTTAAGGTAAAAACCTGTAGCTCACCTGGAACACGCACATCTGTCATTGTTGTGGAAGAGTTAAATTCTTCATATTGAAATCCTCCCCAATGTGAATGATTTCTGTGGTTTGCTCATTCTAGCAAAGTTGCTGAGTAAAGGTTATCCATATTACACCAATTTACTTTATATTGCATCAAACCTCCAAAATGTCAACATATCATACATTTTGTAACACACTGATTCTGGGGCAATAACTCTTACTCTTATCGTTTCTAAAAGGGTGTTGGTGCCAGAAGAAAAGAATGATTGATGGGAAACAGACACCGGGCTATAGACACTCCTCCTTATGCTTCGGATACTGATATCCCAGCGCATCTGAGCATCCTTTGTGAGCTGTGAACATCGAGGATCACCCAGGGTTATTGGATGTACAGCAGGAGAACCATCACTTTGCGAAATCATTATCTGCTACGGGACATCTTGTACAACAATCAAACGAGACCCAAGTCTAATAGATATGTTCTAGAACAACGAAAAAGCAGCAAGCTGTTGTTAACGCCTAACGCAGAAGTATGCTAGGCTTCCACCAAAGTCCTCAATATACCTGAACACACCCAATATCTTAACCCTTCACTTTTAGTTTTGGAATCTACTCTGCGATCTCATCCTCTTTTTTTTTAAATATACAGACCTACCTACATATAGACATATATGTATATGTAAAATAGACATAGATCACTGATAAGCAAACCCGGCTTAGTTACCAGGAAGATTGCCAAGAATTTAGAGATGTATTTGTCAAGATTCCTGTCAATCCATGCCCTTTGGGTTACAGTGTCCTCAGTGATGCAGCCCTACCCTTTGGTGTGGGGACATTATGACGTGTGTAAGACTCAGATTTACACAGAAGAAGGGAAAGTTTGGGATTACATGGCCTGTCAGCCGGAATCCACGGACATGACAAAATACCTGAAAGTGAAACTGGATCCTCCGGACATTACCTGTGGAGACCCTCCTGAGACATTCTGTGCGATGGTGAGGCAACCCTATTGAATAGAATATTTCATGTTAAGTGGGGCATGTTGTATATGCATACAAATGTGGTGAGCACAGACTCAACACGTGCAGTGAGCTGAATCTGCAGGTGGCAGATTTGTGCTAACAGGCTGGCTTCATTCTCAGTGGAGGCTTGCACAACCTAGAGTTACAATTTGCACAGTGTGATTGGTGCACTGGAACTTACTTTCTGCTTTCCTGCAAACCAAAGGTTTCACAGAGACAAGTGTACTGTATATAAATTACAGAAGAAAAAGTCCAACTGACAGTTAAATTTCAGATTGGAAACTGGGAATATGATTAGGCCTTATGTGTTAGGGTAAAGATAAAATTCATCGGTAAACCAACTTTAAAAACACAAAGGTTTCTTTACAAATATGTATAAGGCCAATCTCAAGTTCCATAGTTCAAGGCTAAGTTAGCTTTTGTGGTTTTCCTTATCAGGAAACTGCTATGATTTGGAAGTCCTTGGTTAGGAGACCAGTGAGAAGAGAAGCAGAGGAGAAAGGGGCTTAAGTCTCTTGAGAAGCTTTTCCAGAAAAATCTTATTTGTCAACTCATGCAGCCCCTGATTTTCAAGGGTCACAGTTTTCTATGGGTGTTTTAAATATGAATGTTGGAATGTTGAAAACATATTTGCTGAAAAGTAATGACCTGGGGCATACAAATTCAGATACTATCCTTTTGGTAAGCAGAGTTGCAGAATTTGTCGTTTTCTTGGTGTATATAGTCTTTTTCTGGGTGGAAAGTTAAATGCTATGTGAAAAGATACCATTGGAATGACACGTTGAATTTTCGCTAAGGACGTGCCTGAAAATTTACCTATATAAGGTATTTTAAAGAGTTCGTGGTTAAAATGATGTAAATAACGTGCTAAAGAATTTAGACAGCGTGTTCTTTGGTTTTTGTCATTGTTTTTTATTATCGGTGGTCTTTATTTGATACAGGAACTGTGATCCCATTTTTCTCCACATAACACATGCAATCGTGTGGCAGATTTTAATAGTATTCCTACCTGACTTTATTATCTTGTACCTGGTCTGGCATTTTCAGGATAGTGAAACTATTAATCAAAGCAGCATCTGTTTACAGTCCCCAGTGAGTTAAATTGGCATAAGATCATCTTAGACCTAGCACTGCAGAAAAGGTTTTGTAACGGGAAACAATTTTGAGCAATAAAGAGTGTTTTCACCTAAAAGCTAAGGGCTTGCCATTTTTCAGAAGTGCCTTTGGGGACCGGTTTGAATTATAGTCTAAACCTGATTTTGTGGAGAGTGAGAAAAAGAGCTTGGCTATTAGGTGTCACTATGACTAAAGTACCCTGAAAGACTAAATATTTCAAAGAGAGGACCGTCTCTCTGGGAAACAGGTATGTGCTTTGCAAAAAGTTGCATTTTAGAAACTAGAGACTTCCAGAAGAGGAGTTCATTCAAACACATTAGCAAAACTATAATAAATCTGTAAAAGAGCAGGGATGTTTGTTGGCTTTTTATAAGGTCTTTAATAATCTCTCATAAAAGGTCAGATTTAAGATCTCATTGCAAATCTGGGGTGAAATTGCTGTTCAGGTGATAGGTTATGCCATCTTCCACTCCTTACAGCAGAGGACGAGTTCTGGGCTAGATCTTCATATTATTAAGAACGCTCTAGCTCTCTATATTGGTTTGCATGACACTTGTAGCAATATGCTTCTTCTGGAATTGTTTAATAATTTACAGATCTAAGTAAAATAGCAAATAATCCTTTTTCAGAGTCCTGTTTCCACTTGCATCCGCCCTGTGTGATGTGTTCAATGTGTGACTTGAATGTGCGGCTTCCCTGATCTCAGGCCCTGGCAAGAGAATGCTTGCTCAGCACCGCTCCTGTCCGTCATGTTGAAGGGTTTACTTGGCCTCTTCAGCATGCCTTTTTCTCCCTTCATGAGTGGGAAAGGGCACATTATAGAACTTCTCACGCCTGCCTTTCACGGGGGCATGGTCTAAGGTCCTTAAACAAGCCAATTCCTACCAGTCCATTGGCTAAGTGATGTTAGAGACCAAAGAGAAAAAAAGAATTTAAATGATAGCTTTCTCAAGTGCAGTAACATGTATACTTTATATGTTTACATGAAACTCAGCAGGACAGTCTTTTGAAAGGCCGCACCTTAGTATGATGCAGAGATTCGGAAGGCTTGGTGCATTTAAGCCTGTCGTGGAGCAGAGTTGTTTTCCAAGGGAGAATGTAAAGTTTGTGAGACATTATCTATCAATGCTTAATTTGGACTCCTTAATATGCATCTGATTGGGGTAACAGATTTAATAATCTCTCCTTTAAATGCATACTTTGGGACTATTTGTTTGCATATTCTATGCCAAGTCAACGATAATGGCCTAATATAGCAACACTACCTCTCTGCAATTTTGGATTTTCCATAAAACTCTTTAGTATAAGGGTTCCTGACACAAGGCTGTAAAGCTGTCTCAGGATGCTGTCATAGCAGACCTGTTTAGGTGCTCCTTACCCCAAGGTCTAATGGGAATCCATAAAGTCATTTGTGTTACGACTTTCACTTTCTCCCTCCTTGACACACGCAGCCATAGCTGCTCCCTCAGAGTCGTTATGGCCTATTACATCAGGGCAGCTGCCACATAAGTGCAATCACCATTTAGCCCTTCTATGTAAATGTTTGCTGCAAAATTGTTTCAGTAATCACCTGCTCAACTAGTGACACCCTTATTAGCTGTGACGACAGCAATTCTGAGCACCGAAGGGACATTTGGTCAAAGAAATACCCTATAATTCCCACAGCCTATTTATTTTATATAAGACTGAAGTTCATTGGCAATGCATTAAGAGTCCACGTTGCTGCTTTTTGCATTTGCTCCATTGTTCTATCCTAGTGACTGTCCATGAATGCTACCTTCACTTTAGAGTAAAATTTTAGGGAAAAAGCACCATGTGATTCCATTTAGTAATAGATCTCTGCTTATTAACCTGGATGACCTACTTAATAATTCTTTAATGTCTAGTGATTTTAAATTGTTGTGTATTAATAGCACCAGCATTTTAAACATCAGTTTTATGGGAGAATTCTGCCATTTCTACTTATGAGAGTGGAATAGGGGAGTATAGATAGATACAGATATAGATACACACATATACACATATATGTATGAATTGTGTATGTTGAGACCATACATTTTCTTTTTAATTTAATATATGCCTTTTAAGTTGTTGATGGCTAAAAAATATCTGTTTTTTGTTAAGGGGAAAGGATCTGAAGTGTAGAAGAAGGTTAAGAATGTTCTTTAGAATGAGATAACATGTTAGCGTAGCTCATGTCCTCTTCCAGCCACATAAAAGCTTCAGGTAGCACGGCTTTGTCAGAAAACAGATCATCCAGTGACTACACAATTTGTTTCACTTTGCATAAAGAGCAAATAGGATGATCTGAACCTGTGTGTAAAGCTGAAGTGACAACACAAAGCTATGACTTGTTCTTTGTGTTTAGACAAACTTAGCTGTCATATCTCCACACAACATCCTAGTGGCTTAAAAATGGCAAAATTATCTGCAATTGTCTCCAGCCTGCAGCTAATTTTCTGGATAAGTTAAATAGAAGCTTTGAAAGGAAGCCTACAGATGGAAGAAGTCGTGTGCCTTTGTACAATTTATGGCACAGAAGTGCTGATGACTGTAGAAATGTGAGCCCTTGAGTGCTGCTGTGGATTTCAGAGCCAATCAAAACTAAATTAGGAAACAAAGATTATTAAAAAGTCTTCTGTGTGTGTAATTCTGGCATAATATTATGAGGTGGACATTAAATGTTTCCCTTGGAGACTTTCAGCGTCATTAATGCCGCATGCCTTTAATTACAAGTAGACTCATATTACTAAAAAAATGGAGAAAATAAAGTACTCTGAGGAGTAGTTAGCAATACCCTCATTATGTTTACTGAAATAATTAAAAGAAAGGGTGTAATTTTTCTAAATAAAATGTCAAAGTTTGAAATGAAAATGGATTTTCTTTAGGAAATTTACTAACGTGTGCCTACACTCTTGATAGGCATTTATTCAAGCACCATAACAGGTCTATTAATGATCATTCCATATTGTGCTATTTCTAGATAGACTCCTATTAAGAAAAAAAACTTTTATTATTGTAAGCATTAGGATAGAGCATACTTCATTATGCTCAGATGGAATTTACTGAAGTAGTAGAAAGCCTTTATGTTTTATGATTTTAAAGGAACCCAATGAGTGAGTGGTAATGCGTAGTCTCAGGGCTATCCATAACTTAAATTCCTAATTTGACATTGGCTCAGGTTGCCATCTGGTGGCTATCAGGTGGCCTTTGAGAAGTTAATTTGATAAACTCAGTTACGTTTTCAGTGTCAAGGCGTTAATATCAATTTTCTAAAAACTGGAAATGACATTGACTTATATAGTAATCGAATAATCTTAAAAATACACTCTGTGCACATGAAACATAATTCAATAAATGAATGAAGTTTAATAACAGTGACGTCTTTCATTTGAACTGATTTATCCTTTAATTATGCCAGAATGGAATTTTTAAGTCCTTCCATTATTAACACTGCATTGTTGTTAGTTCATTATTTAGACTTATTTCTTAGAAAAGTTTAATTCATGTTTGCAAAGAATTAAGTTCTATGGAGATCAATCTTTCTGATATATCACTATAGCAACTGTTTTCTTGTTGAGGAGCCTGCTTATTATCTACTGCATCAAGTCTAAAGTACTCTACCCGATTTTTAAATCTGGGTGTATTCAAGCTTATTTCCCATTCCTTCCCATCAGGACCCTATGGCATCTCCAGAGGAATTAAGGCTAACAATCTGATTGGAAAGAACTGGATTTTGTTGAAGCTGCAATGGCATAGCATGCATGGTTTATGGGGGAGGCCTTGGGAGGGAGCTGATAAAGATTATGGCGGGCCTAACAAAACCTTAGACCACCTCCTGTCATTCATTGTTCCCA